GAAGCAGTGACGATATGATATAAATCATAATTTTTTCAAAATTTGATTCGATGATTGTTGTTATTTTGTATTAGAAAAAAATAAATATTTGTAACAACTTTTGGCTCATTAGAAAATACTGAAATATCAATTTTTTAAAATTTCTTTAATGAATTCGTCCTTAAGGTTTTAAAAAAAATCATGCTAAAAATTGTCAAATATAAAATGCAATTAGAATTTTCTTTAGAAAATCATAATTATTAATCTAATCTTTTTATTTGTCAACAATCACATTTCTCACACCCGCAATTTTAAATTATGCAAACTTTCTTGCACATAAAAATAAATCGTTACAATCGAGCGAACGTAAAACTAAGGATAAAATAGTTATTTTCTTTTATTCGTCCTTTCCCATAAAAAAGTAGTATAAAAATTGGGACGTAAGGAACTCACTTAAATTTTTATTTTTTTCCTTCTGTTACAGATAGTTGTTCCTTTCGAGAGGACAACTTGTGAAAGCAGAGGCGACACTAAAATTTGAAGACGATGGGTGCACTATCAATAACTAATTCATGTTAGCTAAAGCATATCAGTCAGTATCGATTCACGTGCTATTTTTATTAAACATAAAAATATAAAACTAATGTAATAACATATAATGAATTAAATAACTATAACCTCAAAATAAAGAGACACCCAATATTTAAACCAATGCACCCAATTAGTTTCAGTATTATATTAATGCTAATAAAAAATATCTTTTGTTCAAGCTATATATATGCGCATAGATATACATAATTTTTCCCGAAGTTAACAGGCGTACGTGCACCTTCACATAAGCACGTGGGTCCGCCTCTCGATGACTCATGTTGTTATTCCCTTTTAGAAAAAAATAAAAATTTGTAAATTTTTGTTTCTTCTTACTGTTAGCGACTTGTTTGTATCGCCTGCCTTCTGTTCTCCCTTCGAGAGGACAACATGTGGAAGCAGAGGCGAATCTCAAATTTGAAGACGGTGGGTGCACTATCATAACGTTAGTTAAAACATGCCACTCAATATTGATTCGTGTGCTATTTTTATTAAAATAAAAATAAAAATACATGTAATAACATATAATGAATTAAATAACTATAATAGATATAATTTGCTTTGTGAAGTGTCAATTTTTTATCTTCACTTTGTAGTTTGCACATGAGGTCGCTAGTTCAAAACTACCAACCCCCTTATTTTTATCGAATTTTTTTTAACGAAAAAACAACAAAAAGAAACGTATTAAGTGGAATTCAAACCCAATTTCATCACCTCAAAATAAAGAGACACCCAATATTTAAACCGATGCATCCAATTAGTTTTAGTATTACATTAAGGCTAATAAAATATATCTTCTATTCAAGCTATATATACACACATATATACATAATTTTTTTCGAAGTTAATGGGTGCGGGTGCACGTGCGCCCTCACGTAAGCATGTGTATCCGCCTCTGGGTGGAAGCAGCGACGATATATGATATAAATCCGAATTTTTCCAAAATTTGATCTAATGATCGTTGTTATTTTTTTTTCCGGAAAAAGGTCAAAATTGCCCCTGAACTATGCGAAATAGACCACTTATACCCTTCCTTACATTTTGGGATAAAAAATGCCCCCGCCATTATCCTAAGAGACCACAAATACCCTCAAGATTTAACACCCCAAATTTTTAGTGACGTGGCAAGCCAAGTGGGATTAACCCCTCCACCTAAGCGCTGCCAACTAGGATTCACTACAAAAGAACTAGGGAAAATTACGTGGAAAGACCATCCTTAAGACTTAACTACATAAATAATAGTACTTTTTCAGTATTACAAATATGAAAGTTTTTTTTACATATATAGCAGTTTTAAATAAACTGATTAGATAATTTTTATTATTAATAAATAGATATATTAATTATCTTCTTACATTAATTCAACCGTGAAAAAAGAGAGGATAATTTTAAATCACTCTCTCTTTATATCTACAGAATTCTAAACGTTCTCAAATACATTCAAGTCATTACTAATCTATATAATCTTATCTCAGAATTCTTCAATTGTTGGTCGAGTTTAATCATTCATTTGAGATACGGTTGGTAACTACTGGGTAGTTATCGAAAGTGTTCATCGCTTCATCTCTTCATATTTAATCTCAATTTTTTTTACGTTTTCACATAGTTCAGGTATGAGTATTATAATATTATTGAGTTTTTCAATTCTTTTTATGCATTTTTTCTGGTAAACTTCATCTTAATTGATGTATATTGTTTCTTTTTATACACAGCAGTTTGAAAAATGGTGAAGGAAGATTCATCATTTGAAATGGAACCACACGATGAATTTGTTGAGATGGTAACACCTGTTGGAGAGCCAAACTTTCATTTGTTGTCTCCAACACCTGTGTCTGATTCAAATTGTTATAACATTCAAAGTGTTTGTGTTTTGCCGTTATCAACAATTGATCATAGTGGTGTTGATCGTCAGACGGAGGAGAGGTCAAAGGAGTACCTGAGAAGGAGAAAGTTAGAAGAGATCAAAAAGGGGAAATATATTGCACTTGATCCTAAAGATCAAGGTCGGAGTGTCAACGTCAAAAGGAGAAAATTTATTGAAGTTGCACCACATAAATCTAAATTGAAGGTATTGTTTTCATGAGACTTTTTGATTCAACCTAACTACTTTAAATAGTATTGCTAACGTGAGAACTTAGGAAAGTACGTAGTAGTTTTAAGAATTTATTATTAAACTTCGAGAATTGTGTAGAAATATCCACCAACAAGTGGATGTTACTTTAATAGGAGTGAATTGTCTTTATGCATAACTTATACATGTACGTGCATATATTCCATAAGAGCTTATTAATTGCAGTCATATAACTTCTATACTATTGTCACTGTTAGTTTTAAAATTTTCAACTTTGTATTGTGTTGCAGAATTGGGAATTTTATTTTGAAGTTGGCAAACATAAAAAACCTAAGCTTGGCGCTACTAATTTAGATTTCGTCAAATCGTTTGAAGAGAAGTTGACCAAGAGTCAGTTGCAAATATTTAGTGACACTTGTTTTGGATTTTTTCTCAAATTGCCTCCAGTGATTCTTCAAACACAATTGATACATTCCTTATTGATGATGGAGGTTGTTCAAGAAAAAACTGATGAGATTTGGCTACTAGTGAATGGTTCGTTGATACATTTTGGGTTAGGTGAATTTGCCATTATGACAGGACTAAAATGTAATGGAGTGGCGCACAAAAATTGTAATTCATGGAAAAAAAATAACTTGATTGATCGTTGTTTTGTTGGCATTAAAAAGATTATTGTTCAAACAATAGCTGATTTTTTTTAAGGTAAACGTTGGACAAGTGATCAAGATGCTGTCAAAATTTCGATACTTCATTTTATTAACACGTTTTTGTTGTGTGACCTCCTTGAAAATAAAGTACCCAACTGGCATTTTGAAATGGTCGAGTCCGGTGATTATGAAACTTATCCGTGGGGAAAATTAGTATTTCATGAGACCTTTGCATCCTTGAAAAATGTTTTAAGAGGAAAGATTGGAAAGAAATTTAATAAATTGTATGGCTTTCCTTTGGCATTTCAAGATTGGTTTTATGAGTGTTGTGCGCAATCAAATGAACAATTTGCTATTATGATTGGAAAAAGGATCCCACGAATTCTAAGTTGGAAAGTGTTATCTAGCCCAAATGCAACCAAGGTTTCAGAGATGCTATCTTCCACAAAGGTGATTTTTTCTTATACTTTATGAACAACAACTATGAATAATTATATGCTTAATTTGTATTGTTGTTAAATTACGTAATATGTAGTTGAAGGTGAGGAATATTTCTGCAACTTTGTTTGAGAAGTCTGCGATGAACTTGAATGATTTAGTTGGCGATGTTGTGGTGAATGATGAATCAAATGGAGCCGAAGTTGCAAGTCAATTAGTTGATGACGACTTTACTACACCACCTCCTGTCTCAAGCAAAGCGAGCAGAAAACCTAAATTTGTACCTCCTATGAATAATATGAACTTGATTGATGAGATACGACGCATATCTGATGGACAAAAGGAGTTAAGGGAAGACTTTCAAGTAGTATGTGAATTTTCCTTCTTTTTAGGTGTTAATATACTATATTCGTGAAAAGCGTTTTGATTATGTTCTTTGTTGATTAGCTAAAACATAAAGTTCATAGTTTAAAGAAGCTCATGATGGAATATGATTCAAAAAATTTCAACGCAATTGAAGTTCTAAGCCAGAAATTTGATAGAAATAATGATTCTAAGCTATTCAATTAGTATCTAATTTTTTTCGATCAGAATATGTTTATGCCTATGTGTATTGTATGTCTTATGTATTTTTAACTAATATCAGTATGAAGAATTTAGAGGCAGAGACGTAAATGTTGATTGTGACGAAGAATATTATGAAAATAATATCAATTGTGACCAACATGTTACTCTTCACTTAGACAATATTCAAACCATCAACGAAGATTCCAACAATGATGTCAAAATTGGTATGTTAAATCTTATTTCAAGTATAAGCAATGTTATTAATAGAAGCTTATTCTAGGTACATAAGCAGTATTCATTTGAATGTAATGGGATCTTTATACCAATAAGATATATTATTCGAGGTATAATATACAAGTAAAAATATATATCTATAAAAAAAATTCAGTTTTATATTGTATCCTTGATATATGTTCTTAGAATAGGCAACTACTAACCATTTGTGAAATTATATTAATTTTATTTGTTATACATTTTCAGTTGGCGAAGTTGAAACTAGGGAGTTAGATCCAGAACTTTTATCGTCAGATTATATTGATGTCCCGGAGTCTCAGATTCATCCATTTACATGTCGAGTGGCATGTAAACAGATTGATAAGTCTTGTTATCCAGAGGTAGAACATATTGTGACAGGACATCTCACACGAAATAGGTGTCCCGACGCATTTCACCAATCTCCATATCTGAATAGTTATGGATCAGGTGACAATATGAGTGGAGGAGCCTCTTCCAAGAGTATTGTGACAGGGGTTCACCCTTTTGGAAGTTTTAATATGGATGTTGATTGTTTAAAAGAGATGGGTGAATTTAGAGAATGGATGAATGAAGGTCGCAGACCACGTAACAAGTTAGTATTCTATTATTTTTATAGTTGTTTGTGTTGTTAATTATAACATATTTCTAATATACAAACTTATAATTATAGGAAGTATCCTTATATTAAAAAAGACAATACTCTCAATCCTCCGTTTGAATTTGGAAAGACGATTATCAGCAAGAAAGATTGGTTCTACAAGTTTGCGTTCAATGGTCAATCTTTGGAAAGTTCGGTATGTAAATATGAAATATTGTGTATAATTAGTTTCGAAAAATGAGGGCTTAATGTGATTGATTATTTGGTTATAAACTATATAGTAATATTTGGAATTATATGCAGCATTTGGATGTTATCCTTTATTATCTGAGAAAGAAAGGAATGCACGATGAAGTTCCAGTTAAGTTCACCACAACTGATTATCTATTTGATCTCAAGATAAAAGCTCTTTATAAGAAATTCATTGAAAATAATGGAGATAGCGATGTGGTGAAGCCTGAACATGATATAGCCAAGTACATACTTGGTGAATTTGTGTTTTCTAACAGGCTGTGGCATACTGTTGATCATATATTGTTTCCTTTCTGTGTTGATGAACAATGGGTGATGGCAAGATTATCTTTTAAAGATAGATCGATATATGTGTATGATTCGATGGGTGATGTTGCTTTTAGAGCCAATATTCACAGTTTTGTTGATGCTTATAGATTTATTATCCCCTCTTCCTCTTGATTTTGAATTTTTTTGACAAAAGGACTGATATTCAATTAAATGATGGGTCGTATAAGAATAAGGCATTGGTTGATCCTTTCAATGTAGTGATGATTGAAGATTTGCCGTTACAACAAGCTGCGTAAGTGCCCTTTATTTCTAAAATCACTAAAGTATACATGAGTAAACTCTTTTAAATTTTTAGCCTTTGATGTTATTTGATTTTTCTTTATTACAGGGATCGTGGCATTTATGTTGCACTGTTTGCGGCAAGATTTATATGTGGTAGTAATGTGTTTGACAATGAATTTGATGTCAATACACAACGTATCAAGTTTGGCTCGTTGCTGTGGAATTATGGCAAGATGAAACTAGAGAAACATATTACCAGTGAATCTAAATCGTCAGGAATAATTAAAAAAATGGATTGCATGAAGCGTTATTATAATTAGCTTATATCTTATGAAATTAAGAGGAATAGTATTAAGGCTTGTCCATTGTGAATGTTTGAGTCACTGATCTTTCATAGTTAGTTGGTATTATGGGTTAACTTGAACTAGTATATTTCTTTGTTTATTTTAGTTAAGTGATGAACCGATATACTATTTTTATTTTGTCATATTCTTATGATGAAGTGTTCTTTTTATTCTAATTTGGTATTAAGAGTTTTTCATGCCTTAAAGTCATCTGATTGTCTTTATTTAACAATTTTTTATTTCTTATTTGATAAGTTTGTAATATTATTCCTAGGCTGTAGGATCTGATGCAATGATTATTTGGTACTTATGGTAAGCACATTAGTGACTTGAGGATTGGTGCCTATCCTAGGGTATTTAATCCCCTTGTTTCAGGTTCACAGCTAGTATAACGCGGAGTATTGACACTGAAAAACAGGATACTTGCTGATGCTTCAATAACTGCAATATTCAAGATCCAGGCAAACTTCTAACATAGGAGATTCAAGAATATCTATTCTGATATTGGAAAAAAGATACCATTGCAACAACCACAAAAGGCACATCATCAGGAATTACCTCTGCTAAAACCCTGCTTCTGAATTGAAACCGATCAAACTGTGATGGTGCTACAACAAAAGCTGAGAAAGACAACTAGGTTTCTGTTGCTCCATTTACATTGTCCTCTGTCTGGAAGTTCAATAACTTTCAACAGTACCACAATAACAGGCACCCAGAAGACATAACCTTCTCAAGGTAGTGCTATACCAATTTCTCATGCTCATTAAGCCAGATCGTCTTCTTCAATGCGAAATCATAAGAAGAAAATACATTATTTCATTTCAATTTGCAAGTTTTTTGACAACTACATTCGAAATGACATCTGATATATATATATGATATAAGTTAAACATACAACAATTGAAATAAAAACAGGAAAAAGTCTTCAAACATGAGAATCGACACATTAATTATAAAAAACTAGAGTCAAATAAACATAAATACTAGCCAACTATGTTCTATAAGAAGAAGGCAGAGCTAAAATTTAAGAATTAAATATGAAAAACTATGCTGTCTGTGGAATGTTTCGGCATGTCTGCCTATTGTGACCTTGTTGTCCACACACTCCGCATGTAATTCTTGACTTCTTTGTTCTTGATTCACCACCATTTTTGTAGCTTATCTTTTGTGGCCTGCCAGGTTTGATTTTTCCCTTGGGCGGTAGGACAATATTTACTGCGACATTTGGAGGAATTTTCCATATACTCTCGTCGGAAATAGGATACATTGGAACTTCATATGTGTTTAGTAGGTTATATTTCTTGTAGTATACAGAACAATATTCATATTCACTCATGTAGTATTTTCTCACGATAGCCAAAGCATGCTTACACGGCATTACATCCATTTGAAATTGCCTACATGTGCATATTCTTTCATGCATATTGACTACATGCCGTTTACCTCCATCATAAACTGTATACAAATATTCCGTTGACGGGACAACCTACATTACAATAATTGTTTTTAGAGGTAGAAGATCAAAGTTTATACAACGATAAAAAATGAGATATCACAAACAGATCACATACCATCATTCCCTGTGATTCCTTCATTTTCTCCCTCATTAGGTTTTCATATTTTGTGCTTAGTGTTGTGCATGTTGCAATTGCTTCATTCCTGTTTGTATTGTTCCAACGACCAATCATCTTCATCAAGTAATCCAACAAATCATATATAAGAAGATCTCTGGCCTCTTTATCAGCTGCATTAACAGATTCTGCAATATTTGAAGTCATCACCATGAATGTATTGACATTGGAGTGTGCAACCGACCATCTGTGATATCCAATTTCGAATAAGTATTCTTTCACCCTATTGTCAATGCTATAGGTCTCAGCCATGTAATGATCGAATTCCTCTGTTGTGTATACATTAGCCATTGCAAAAAATATTTTTCTCAGGACCTTATGGTGCTTCCTGAAATTTTTCTTAATATTGCCCCAAAGATGGTATAAGCATACACAATGAGGCACCCCTGGATACACTTCAGAAGTGGCGTTCAGAATGCTTTCATGCCTATCAGATACGATACACATACCTTCTCTTATGCCATAGGTCTCTCGTATCCTTTCGAAAAACCATTTCCACGATGCATCATTCTCTGAATCGACTACTGCAAAAGCTAATGGAAGTATTTTACCTGATTCATTGATAAAATACATATATAATGAATTAGGCTTTAAAATCATGTTTAACTATTTCTAATAATAGACTATGTATAATGTGAATATGTAGGTAAGATTCAGGAAAAAATTATCCTAAACTCATTTAATAACCAATAGATATTCAATTTAATCTAACCTGCCGCATCCTGTGTGCAAGATGTCAAAATTGTTCCCCTGTAGGCTGCTTTTAAGAAACTACCATCAACAACAACAGCAGGCATGCAATACTCCCATCCTTTAATTGAGGCGTAAAGAGCTATATATGCATATAAAAAACGTCCATCGTCTGTCTTTTCCAATCTTGTAACAGATCCAGGATTTGTATGCTTCACCATGTACAAGTAGCTAGGCAACTTTCCATATGAATCTCTAGGTTTACCTCTTAATATCTCTAGTGCCTTTTTCTTTTGCCCTTCATGCCTTCATGTAGTTCAAATCAACACCATATTGATTTCTAATGTCACGTTGTATATCGGCTGGAGTATATATTGTCTTAGGATTGTCAACATTGCTTGTTAACAAGCCTCCAACAAACTTTGAAGTAGCATGACGTTGTGAAAAAAATCTTGATTCATTTCCACATGTGTGAACATTGTAAAATTTTCTCACCTTGAATATATTTGAATTATTAAGGCTGGAAGACTTAAAATACCATGAACACTGATAATCAACACAAACAAGATAATACCTGCAAAGTTGATTGACATCATATCGTGATTGTAACATATTATAGAATAATAGTCCAAGGATCATTATGATCAAGAATTCTGAAGTTTAGTAGTTGTAAAAATATATTATATATGCTACATACATGATAGGACGTTTTTGAGATTTTACCATGAATTCTTCCTATTTATTACATGATTATAGGTTTCTATCTACGAAACAAATAAAATGTCTTCTAACATCGCCAACCTATTACTCTCAACTGATCTCCTCGGCATTAACTCCATGGATGTGGATTATAATTGAAAAGATGAAGAGCTCAGTAAGGAGACCACAAATAAAACCAAAGTCATGCTGGTGGAACAATCTGGGATATGGCTATTATATGGTTCTATTACTGAAAGAAGGAAATATGCAAAGAGTACTGCAAAAGGGACCATGTTTCATTAACGGATACTTCCTATCTATGTGGATGTAGATGCTTTGGTCACACCAACATAACATGTACACAATAAATTACCAACGAGGTATACACATTAACAGAGGCTGCGAAGCCAATTGGTTATCAAACGCAACATAGAGACTCCAAAGAGGACATTATTAATGGAGACGGGAATTATATAGTGACGCCTTGGTAACTGGTCAATATTGAATACTAGAGATACGTAAAAATACTGAATTGCAAGGACTTTTAATGTATAAGTTACTTGATTATGTACTTCACCGCATTTATACCATCCGTTATTTGAATTCAAATATACTATATACCAAGTATTTTATACTTGAATATTATACCACGTATTATATATTGAAATAAACTCTTTAACAAGCAAAACGCAGTAAAATATACTTTATACCAAGTAGTATATACTATAATATATTTTATGCCAAGTATTATATACTAGAACATACTATATACCAAGTATTATATACTAGAATATAATGTATAGCAGTCAGCTACCAGAATAACAAGTACTAACATGAATTTTATACTAACTTATAAAATAATTTTTACTATTTGTTGAAGTTCATTTATTACCTCGTCGTACTTGAACGCTTAACTTTGAACTGAAAATTTTCCTTGATGGCAATGCGATTTAAAACATCTTGGAGTATCTCCTTGTTCATATACAACTGACCTTTTTTTATGTCTTTATGAACTCTGTTGTTGATTATACCATCTTCGTCAATTTCCATTTCATCACGCGAGTAATTGTTGTCTATTGAAATAAGTGTTTGAGTGAGTTCAACACGTTCTACCAGTTGCATCTCATGGGTAGAATTAGAACTTGAACTGATAGGATTAGAAAATGACAAAATTCCGTCACAGTTTTTTTCCTTCAATGTTATACACAATGAAAAATCTGTGAAGGGACTTTTTCTTTTCAAATCCAAATACCATCTCAAATTCCTATCATTGTATATCTTCATTGGAGTATAATTTTGCTTCACAAAATATTTAATTTCAATTGTATCTGTTGAAGCATAAACCCCAAGTATCTTCGTCATTTCATCAAGGATGGTATCCAAATTCGAACTCACTTTTAGTGTCACACCATCAACTATGAAATTGTTGTAATTGTGTTCACTATCCCATTTACCATCGTGTTGAACCAAAATTGCAATTCTTCTTCCATGTCAATAGTCGTTTAATTTACTTGATTTTGTAGTAGAAGGAAGATACAACTAATGTAGTATAGTTCTTATGAAATACGGTTACTTATACCTTAAAAAAAGGTACTGAACAGTTCATGACCTTAAAAAAAGGAACTGAACAGTTCATGCTGCCTTAAATTTCTATTTTATTTAACACGATCTTTTGAGAATGCAAAACGGCTAAGGAAGTAAATATTTAATTGTCATAAATGTTATTCACTGAATACTGCCATATATATGTAATTATTTACATAAAAGTGTCTACTTATTTTTTTTCCCGAAGAACTAGACCTTTAGCGGCGACACAAGTCGCCACAAAAGCCCAGAATATCGTCATTAAAGGTTTTAACTTATTTTTAACATTAAATTCTAATTTTGTGTTTTTTTCTTCATTATTTTAAAAAAATCATAAATGATATCGATCAAGGAGGAGTTTGAAGACACTAT